ACCAGCTTCGACCTGATCGGCTCTCCCAAATCTTTCCCAATCCTGAACTTGCGATCATCACACCCCTGCACCATCTGAACTTCTTCGACCTCGTCCCCAGGTTGTATGTCTATCTTCTCCTTTCCTTTATCCTGCCATCCCCTTTCCTCCTTCGTTCTCGACCCTCCTGGTCGATCGGGCCTCTCTTCCTTGCCTTTCAATTACTTTCCTGCCATTTGCTTGTTATTGCTGACTGTAGTTTGGTAGCAACTCCTCGACGTGAGCTGGTCCCCAGCGATCTCGCCCATATTTTCCCCCACCGGATATTTGATCGTCATGTGGTATGTAGACACGACCGCTTGGAACGCGTTTAGACCTGTCTATCCCAAAATGATGTTATAAGACGATTCTGCACCAACCATTACGAACCGGGCCATTCTTACTTTCCTCGTATCGCCCGACCCCAACGCTACAGTCAGGCTCACTTCGCCCATTGGCATCACCTCCCCTCCATTAAAACCATATAAGGTTGTCGCCACCGGTTTCAGCTCCAGATTCAAATGTTTGTTGATCTGTGCGAAGCAGTCATAGAACATCACATCGACCGAGCTCCCAGTGTCGATGAACACCCTTTTTACGTCGAAACCTGCTACCTCTGCCGTGATGACCAGTGCGTCATTGTGGGGTAGCAAGATCCCCTCCGCATCTTCTGCCCGAAAGCTGATCACTGGCATTCGACCAGTTATCCCGACCTCCTCCTTTTTGCGTTTCACAACTCGCACATGCCCCTTTCGTGCATTGTTTGAATCTCTATCCGTGGACCCTCCTGAGATCATATAAATTGTGCCTCTCTTCGCGGGCACCTCCCCCCTCAGCTGCTCTCGATCATCATTCTGTCGTCTCTTTCTCTCTCTTCTAGCGTCGTCTTCCCTATCATCATCCCTATCACTCCTTGCCACTGAATCCTCCCTGCACCTTCTCCTTTTCTTACCCCGCGGTCGATCACGGATGACGAATTCTTTCAAGTGCCCTGCCCGTATGAGACGGTCGATCTCGTCTTTTAAGTGCCTACAATCCTCCGTGTTATGCCCATAATCTCTATGGAATCTGCAGTATTTATTCGACCTAGGTTTGGTCGGTCCCTCGAACCTCGTCGCTGGCCACGTGACCTCCTTGCTTTCCAACTTCTCCTCGATGTCCGCCAAGACTTCGCCCACCTGGGCGTTGATAGGAGTGAAGTGGTTATATCTTTGGCCATTTGGTAACCGGGGTTGCCCTTGCCAGCGATCTTCTTGTCCTCCACAGAACGAATTTCGCCCATCCCTTCTGGGCGACATCTTCTTAAAGGATCCACCTTTTTGGGGAATTGTTTCTAGGTGATCCCCTCCTGGGCGAGCTCAGCCTTCCCTTCGTTTGCTCTGGTTTCACTACCTCCTCCAGCTTGGCAAACTCAGCTTCCGTTTCTTCTAAGTTAATGTACTTCTTGCATCTCTTAAGCACTTCGTCGTAAGTTCGAGCAGGCGTCTTTGCCAATGACGTTCGACATGGTCTTGGTCGCAGACTCCTAATTAATCCTCCTGCCTTCACCTTGTTGCCCGCCGCGAGCACCTCTAAACACATCTGATTGTATCGTGCAACATATTTCCGCAGGGACTCTTTCTCGCCTTGTCGCATCGCCATCAGAGTGAGGTATGTCTTCTCCTGGGCGACCGCGCTTGAATATTGATTAGTAAGTTGTCCTGCAAAATCCTCAAAGTCTCTGATCGAACCGGGAGCTATTTGGTGGAACCAGTCGAGCGCGCCTCCTCGTATAGTCGACAGAAAAGTGTTGGAACCCATGAGGATCTCGATATGCACAAATCACGGACAAACATTCAACATAAACCTATGCGCAACGGATCTAAAGGTTTGATGTAGAAAACTTACGGCTTAAAATATATGTAGATTTGGCTGGCCCGAACAGATGACCGCAAATCAAATCTTCTCGGAATCGAACGAACGTGACCAATCCAGAAAGCTGGCGTCACGGCGAAGTCAACGGCGTTGACTGATCGGAAATCGGAGGGTTCACGCGCTCTCACGCGCGCATGTAAGTTCCAGAAGCTGGGATCTTCCGGCGGCGCGTGTGGGCGCGTGCGGCGGCGGCTGGCGGCGATCTCGACGGCGATCTCTCCGACTCGTCGTCCTGGTCGTCGTGGTATGGTCACTTGCTGGTTTTGGTCTCCAGTTTGGATAGATGATAGATTTGATTGGAATCCCGTATATACCTTAAGATCTTCTACTGTATTCTCAAACAGCTATCTAGATCTTGTATCAGTGGAGCACAAGAAATAGAACAACTCCTTGGAAGAGAGAGAGAGAGGAGGCGGACGTTTTTCCCAAGGTTATGGGATTCTTTTTTCTTCCATGAGCCTAATGCTGTATATATAGAGCTACAGTAGGTACCCTAAGGAGAATAGGATAAGGGCTTCTAATATATTAATACTGTGGAGCAACCCCACAATTAATATATTAATAATATTAAAGTCCACCACAATAATATTATTGCACTCCCCTCACCTATCCCAAATTACATTTGAGACTCCTTATTATAATTATCCTATTTACCTCCCCACGTTTAAGATATAATGTCCATTAATTAATTCGATCACTAATAATCAAGAATTAATTAATATATTATATTACCGAAGCTAGCGCTCGCTCATAGCATTCATATTATGCCGGAATAAATCCACCTGCAGGGTTTAGCATAATATTCCTTCATGAACTCACTTCGGGGACATCATCAGACTAACGCACATGGTGACCGTAAATATCCTAATAGCACATCGAACACATAATGTCATTACCCAATTCATTAAGTATGTCGACCCGACTTGGATCTCACCAAAAGAATCAAAAAAACAACAATTATGTTCACATGCCTATTTAATATCTTACGGGTACGCAATAATTAACTGAGGCCTAGTTCGTTTACGGCGATCTGTATAAAACGAACATCCCTCACTGGGATCCTGTTCAATACATAAATGTACTAGTGCAACTAATCGGTCAAGACAAACCGTACGGTTGACACTACAACCGTTCCGATGGGTTGTTCAATTCCATCTAGGTTGTGAACCAATGATTCTTGTTTCGCAAGTAACTGATATAGTGATCTTCGGTACGCCCGATGACGACCCACTTATCAACATGCAAAACAACACAACGTGGAACTTATTTAACCAAACATAATTCTCATTCATCAAGAAATAACAAGTGTAATATCCACTAAAGCAAAGCATAAGTATATAACACCAACAATCTCCCACTTATACTTAAAGCTGTCGCTTTACTAGTATAGTCCTATCAATCCGTATCCTAAAAGACCTATGCGATCCTATCAACATACATTTGACTCCCATTCCCTGTACGTGTTTGGCGAAGACCTTCTCCGGCAAACGTTTCGTAAAAGGATCATCTAGGTTGTCTTCTGATGCAATCTTGGTGATCTCAACTTCTCCTCTTGCCACAATATCTTTGATAAGGTGGTATTTGCACTCTATGTGTTTGCTTGCTCTGATGGCTCGTGGTTCCCTTGAGTTTGCTACTGCACCACTGTTATCACAGTACATGGTAATAACACGTGGCAAACTCGGAATCACTTCTAAGTCCACCAAGAAGTTTCTGAGCCAAACTGCCTCTTTCGCTGCCTCAGAGGCTGCGATGTACTCGGCTTCCATAGTGGAGTCTGCTACGCACTTCTGCTTAGCACTCTTCCATGAAATGGCTCCACCTCCCAATGTAAACACATAACCTGAGGTTGACTTACTCTCGTCCCTATCTGACTGAAAATCAGAATCGCTGTAACCCAGCGGAAACAAACTGTCTGCACGGTAAACTAACATGAAATCTTTAGTCCTTCGCAGGTACTTGAGTATATGTTTCACCGCAGCCCAATGTTCCCTTCCTGGATTACTTTGATATCTCGCTACCATGCCAACGGCATAGCTAATATCAGGCCTAGTGCACAGCATTGCATACATGAGACTTCCTACTGCCGAAGCATAAGGAACTGTCTTCATGTCCTCTATCTCCTCAGTCGTCTTAGGAGACAACTCCTTAGATAAAGGTACTCCATGTCTGAAAGGTAATGTACCTCTCTTAGAGTTTTGCATACTGAATCTGGCCAAGACAGTATCTATATATGAAGACTGGGATAAGCACATCATTCTCTTCTCATGATCACGAATGATCTTGATACCAAGAATGTGTCCTGCTTCACCCAAGTCCTTCATATCAAACTGCTTAGACAACCACACCTTTACGTCCGACAACTCCTTCTTGTTGTTGCCAATAAGAAGTACGTCATCCACGTATAGCACAAGAAACACCACCACGCTTCCACTAATCTTCTTGTATACACAGTGCTAATCCGGACATTGGATGAATCCATATGACTGGATTACCTCATCAAACCGAATATTCCAAGATCTTGAAGCTTGCTTCAGTCCATAAATGGACCGATTAAGCTTACAAACTAAGTGCTCATGCCCTCTTGCAATGAATCCTTCTGGTTGCTGCATATAGATGTCTTCCTGAAGGTTCCCATTAAGGAAAGCCGTCTTAACATCCGTCTGCCAGACTTCATAATCAATATGAGTGGCTACAGCTAAGAGAATCCGAATGGATTTAAGCATAGCTACTGGCGAAAAGGTTTCATCATAATCGATACCCTCTTTCTGGGTATAACCTTTCGCAACAAGCCTAGCTTTAAAGGTTTCCACCTTTACATCCGATCCCCTCTTTCTCTTGTAAACCCACTTGCATCCAATGGGACGTATCCCATCGGGTGGTTCTATAAGATCCCAGACCTGATTGGTGTCCATAGACCCCATCTCAGCTTTCATTTCAACCTTCCACGAATTTGCATCTCTATCTTGGAGTGCCTCGTCATAAGTTCTTGTGTCCGATTCTAGGTCTCCTAGAACTGAGTCTGATGACTCTCCAAGACCTATCCATCGGTCGGGTTATGTAGAAACCCTCCCACTACGACGAGGTGCCGTCTGTACTGGCACACTATCAGTGTTACGTGTTGTAGTACTATGTGATGTATCTACTTGCGCACTCGGTGGGGAACTATCGATATTTCTCCCTAACTCCTCTAGGACAAGTTTACTACTGGGCTTATGATCTATGATACAGTCTTCTTCCAAGAATCTAGCGTTCGTACTAACAATCACCTTCTGATCCTCAGGACTATAAAATAAACCACCTTTTGTTTCCTTGGAGTAGCCGACAAACAGTCTCACTTCTGATCGTTTCTTCAACTTGCCAGCCTCCTGCACTAAGACATGTGCAGGGCAACCCCAAATTCGAATTTGTGAGAAACTAGGCTTGCGCCCTTTCCACAACTCATCAGGAGTATTGTCTACTGATTTTGAAGGAACAGAATTCAGAATGTAACATGTTGTCTCTAATGCAAATCCCCAAAACGAATCTGGTAACTTCGAATAACTCATCATCGACCTAACCATTTCCATAAGAGTTCTGTTTCTTCGCTCTGCAACCCTGTTCTGCTGGGGCGTGCCGGGTGCAGTCAGCTGGGATTCAATCCCTGCTTCTGATAGGTATGTCCTAAACTCTCTAAAGAGGTATTCGCCTCCTCGATCAGATCGAAGACACTTGATACTTTTACCTTGTTTTTTCTCCACAACTGTCTTATACTCCTTGAATTTTTCAAAGCATTCGGACTTGCGGTGCAACAAGTAAATTTACCCATATCTAGAATAATCATCAATAAAAGTGACGAAATACACATAGCCTCCTCTAGCTTGGATCAACATAGGACCACACAAATCAGAATGAATCAATCCTAGCACTTCTTGGCTCCTTCGCCCCTTTGCCGAAAACGGCCTCTTGGTCATCTTACCTTCTAGGCAGGACTCGCAGGTCTGGTAATGATCTTCTACTGGACCAAGATGCCTAGTAGATACCAACCTTTGAATCCTCCTAAGGTTGATGTGCCCAAGCCTAAGGTGCCAAAGATATGCATGATTCATCGAAGACTCTTTTCTCTTATTAGTTTTAGTCGAGACATTATTCGATTCATTTTGTTGCAGTGTGGGAGACTTTGATTTCAGAACATATAAATTGCCAACCATTGAACCAGAACAAATCAAATGATTACCATAACGAATAACAACTGAGTTATTAAACGAAACTGAATAACCATTCAAAACGAGTTTTAGAAACTGAAATTAAATTCTTCCTAAAACTTGGAACAAAAAGACAATTGTTCAAAACCAAAATACTAGTATCAAATACTAAAGTAACTACTCCCACTGCAACTGCTGCTACTTTCGTAGCATTGCCCATGTAGACTGTAATCTCTCCATCCCTAAGTCGTCTGGTTTCCTGGAACCCCTGCAAAGAATTGCAGACATGATCAGTGGATCCAGTATCTACACTAGGTACTGGTAGATACAACCGCTAAACATGTTTCTACGACGAAAGTATGAGAGTTACCTTCTTTGCCCTTCTTGAGGAGAGGACAATCGACCTTCTACTGCCCTGACTTATTGCATTTGTGGCATCTATCTTTCGGCTTCTTTGCCACAGCCTGTTGAGGCACTAACTGGGTGCTCTGTGCCTTTGCCTTTCCTGCAGCCTTCTTCCTCTTCCTGCCCTTGTGAGGCCTGGAAGGTCTGGCTTGCTCGGCAACCATCACAACTGATTTATGAGTGAACAAGGCCTCAGCCGACTGGAGTTCTCACAATAGTTCTGGAAGAGCCAAATGCATCTTGTGCATGTTATAGTTCAACCGGAACTGATCAAAACTCTTCGGCAGAGATTGGAACATGATATCGACCTGGGTTTCCCCGTCAATAAAACCTCCAAGAACCTCTAGCTCATTCAGCTGCGCCACGACCTTAAGAGCATGCTCCCTTACGGGTGTACTCTCTGCCATGCGCGTGTTCATCAGAGCACTTAAAACCTCTTGTCTTGCAGCCCTCGACTGATGCCCAAACAGTTCCTTGAGGTTCATAAGCATATCTGCAGCAGTGGCCATTGACTGATGCTGATGTTGAAGGACATTTGACATAGAAGCCAGAATGTAACACTTCGCCGTCTCATCAGCCTTCTTCCACCGAGCATACTCATGTTTCTCCTCATCTGGGGCATTATCAGCCGGCGCATCAGGACAAGCCTCAGTTAGTACATACTTATAGCTTTCAGTAGTCAGCACTATGTCTAAGTTCCTTTTCCAATCAATGTAATTAGGACCGGTGAGTTGATTTTTTTTTTAGGATAACAGACAACGAATTGAACGACATGATGAATAAACCTGAGAATTACGAAAATATTTTACTGATTAAACATTTTGAATTTAACTGTTAATATTGACATTCTCAAAACAATACTAACTTAAATTCACCGATATCCTTAAACCTTGAGAATTTAGTATGATGCTCGGGCAACTCTACTAATTCTTCGTTTCTTTAAAGAAGGGTTTTTCCAGAACCCATTAATTTCCATTAGTCAAAACCAATTTCATGACGAATGAAATTAATAATCGGTCACCGTTTGGCCATGCAATAAAAATCAGGGACCCCTCGGGGGGTTATGAAATGAATCGCATTCTAAGTGAATCCCATTTCTCGGTCCTAAGGTCGTCAAAATCGATTATACGTTCACCTCGGGGTGACTCATTCGATTTCCTCTAACCGTCTAAATTTAGAAATTCGTTCTGATAATTATCCTTCAATTAATTTCAAGTAATGTCATCCTCGGGGAAGCCCACACGATCAATTAATTGATTTACCAACGAATTAGAAATGGAGGCCTTAGGAATTTAATATTATCTTAACTATAAATATCCTTCTCAATTTAGTATTTAAAAGAGGATTTTTAATATATATTCATGCAATTCTAAATAACCCTATGCACACAAGGCAACAATTAATTCCATGCATGAATAAACAAATAAATAATTAATGCCATAAATAAATATCCACTATTATGGCCAATTAAATATTTATTATTCTTTGATTAGGATTTCTTTCCTAAACCAACTCGAACTCCCACTGCAGTAGAATCCCGGTTGACTTGTACTGCAAGGTCCACAAAACCTCCACCATGGATGTTGCCATGCTGCCAGCCGATGCCGCGCCGGCCAGCCTTGGCTCCCGGCTCCGGTTTCTTCCTTGCTTTGTCCGTCGAGGCTCTTTGGATCTTTGTGAAGGCCCGGTCTCCAACGGTCGATCACAATTCGAAAAATATAATTTACAAAATTACATAAATCGATTCCTAGATCCAGCGAGTGGATGTACATGCCTTCTACTAATAAATTAAACTATCCGGTCAACCCCAGGGCAATAAATACAAGCATTCATCGGCTTTAAAAACAAATTTAAAACCATACAACCAACCATCAATTAAGCACAAGCACATAAAAGGGTGGCCATAATAGTGGATTAACTACTTTCTGCAAAACCAAGTTATGCAAATAATCCAATATGTATGGCTGCGCTTGAGCACACATAGACAATATAAGCCGTTTAATCCGCATCTTGTACATAACGGATTAACCTCGTGCTCTGATACCAATTGTTAGAATCCATGAGGATCTCGATATGAACAAATCACGGACAAACATTCAACATAAACCTATGCGCAGCGGATCTAAAGGTTTGATGTAGAAAACTTACGGCTTAAAATTTATGTAGATCTGGCTGGCCCGAACAGATGACCGCAAATCACATCATCTCGGAATCAAACAAACTTGACCAATCTAAAAAGCTGGGGCGTCATGGCGAAGTCAACGGCGTTGACCGATCGGAAATCGGAGGGTTCACGCGCTCTCATGCGCGCGTGTAAGTTCCAGCAGCTGGGATCTTCCGGCGACGCTTGTGGGCACGTGCGGCTGTGGCTGGCGGCGATCTCGACGGTGATCTCTCCGACTCGTCGTCCTGGTCGTCGTGGTATGGTCACTTGCTGGTTTTGGTCTCCAGTTTGGATGGATGATAGATTTGATTGGAATCCCGTATATACCTTAAGATCTTCTACTGCATTCTCAAACAGCTATCTAGATCTTGTATCAGTGGAGCACAAGAAATAGAACAACTCCTTGGAAGAGAGAGAGAGGGGGCGGACGTTTTTCCCAAGGTTATGGGATTCTTTTTTCTTCCATGAGCCTAATGCTGTATATATAGAGCTACAGTAGGGACCCTAAGGAGAATAGGATAAGGGCTTCTAATATATTAATACTGTAGAACAACCCCACAATTAATATATTAATAATATTAAAGTCCACCACAATAATATTGTTGCACTCCCCTCACCTATCCCAAATTACATTTGAGACTCCTTATTATAATTATCCGATTTACCTCACCACGTTTAAGATATAATGTCCATTAATTAATTCGATCACTAATAATCAAGAATTAATTAATATATTATATTACCGAAGCTAGCGCTCGCTCATACCATTCATATTATGCTGGAATAAATCCACCTGCAGGGTTTAGCATAACATTCCTTCATGAACTCACTTCGGGGACATCATCAGACTAACGCACATGGTGACCGTAAATATCGTAATAGCACATCGAACACATAATGTCATTATCCATTCATTAAGTATGTCGACCCGGCTTGGATCTCACCCAAAGAATCAAAGCAACAACAATTATGTGCACATGCCTATTTAATATCTTACGGGTTAAGAGCACACAATAATTAACTGAGGCCTAGTTCGTTTATGACGATTAGTATAAAACGAACATCTCTCTCTGGGATCCTGTTCAATACATAAATGTACTAGTGCAACTAATCGGTCAAGACAAACCGTACGGTTGACACTACAACCGTTCCGATGGGTTGTTCAATTCCATCTAGGTTGTGAACCAATGATTCTTGTTTCGAAAGTAACTGATATAGTGATCTTCGGTACGCCCGATGACGACCCACTTATCTACATGCAAAAAAACAGAACGTGGAACTTATTTAGCCAAACATAATTCTCATTCATCAAGAAATAACAAGTGTAATATCCACTAAAGCAAAGCTTAAGTATATAACACCAACAAAAAGCCCTGCAACTGACCGGATCCGAATACCCGTGCAAGACGGACATGTTTTCGAATGCCCTCACATGCCTCGACGGGTCGCTCGACCCATCAAAAATCAGGTTTATCTCCTGGAAACTCGCAGGCAGCGGTGCAGCTAGAATTTCCCTCGAGAATGGGTGTCCTCGAGCACGCCTGTCCGGCCTTCGTTCCACCTTATCCTGTAGCTGCCGGAGCTGCTCAGCCATCCTCTCCATCGCTCTATCTCTGTGCTCTTCTCCTCCACCATAATTCGACACGTCCTCCTCTTACGTCCCCAGTATCGTGGTCGGTGTGGTAGCAGCCTGGGATGTCTGGTGAGTGACCTGCTGCACAGCCTGCGCCGCCGCGTTGGCCACCTTCCTCTGTATCTCTTCCCCCGTCATGGTCACCATTTGTTGGGCAGGGGGTTGCAGTGCTCCTCCTGTTGGCGGCACCATTGTCTGCGCCGATGGTCCAACCTGTTGCGTCATAACCAGGCCTGCTTGCAACGGCGTGAGGATTGCCGTCGGTGCTGCTTCACGAGCTTCGTTCTCCCTGCTCGTGCCTTCTCCTCCACCCGGGATCGCTGCACTCTAAGGCATCGGCGTTGGGGTCACCGGTTTTTTTGATGGTCCAGAGAATCTAGGTGGAGGTCTTGCTCCCATCGGTCTTGTCGTCGTCCACGCTTCATCAAACGACGACTGCAAATTCACTCGAGGAACTCCGTCCGCCATAGCTGAGCTCAGAACACAACTTTTTGAACGAGAGTTCCCACAGACGGCGCCAATAATACAAGTCTCGCACCCCGACCAGCTGGAAACTGCCTCAAGCTCTTTCTCCTCGCCGGTTGAACGCGGAACCTGCACGAAACTCCCACACCGGAGGTGTTTTCCGGTGAAGAGCCTCCAACGCTCAAGTCAGATCTTGAGAGATAATATAAGTGTGTGGAAAAATGTAAGAGAATGAGATATTGTATTTAAAGTGAGGATTCTCGCCCCTATTTATAAGGGCGAGCTACCTGTTCTACATGCGCGAGTAGGGAGAGTTCGGGCAGTTGTCCTCTGCTCGTCCGTACAACCGCGCGCCTCCACTATCCTTGATGTCAGGAAACGCGTCCCATTTGTCAGAGAATGTCAGAGTTTGTTATAGCCATAAGCCGCTCTTAGAATGCCGCGTGTCCTCCCTTTCACGTGCTGGAGATTCCCTTGTGCGATCCGCTGTTCGACCAATTCTGTACGACCACGCCCTATCCGACCATCCTCCCTCGACCAACTCCTCGAGTAACCCGCATCTGTCGACCACTTCTGATCCCATTAGCTTCTGCTGTCTGCTCCCTGTCCTCCATTGCAGGTGTCTGGTCCGGCTCGACCATATTATTCGACCCGTCTTATTTAGGTAATCCGACAAACCGATCTATTTTCTCCGGTTTAGCCCAGCAAAACGGTCTGGTATATAATATCCCATATCAAATTGAAATAAATGTTTTCACATTGATGCATTCTTTATGATTGCTTGTATGCTAAATGTCTAATTGTCTTATATTGTAGACAATGTGGTCTGTTAGTAGTCACACAGAAGATTACATTGTCGATCCATTATAAGATATAAATGGTATTCACAACTGAGATAGTTATGGACATGACTATCGGTGTATGTTGTAGTATAAACTGGATGTAGCTTGTCTTTGCTATTGGTTTATACTAGTGCGTCGCATCACATTGAATGGATCACAGTTGAGACGTGTTCTTCTGTTCTTACTATATTAAAGAACCTAGGTCTCGGTGACTCTACTAATTCTTAACCCTAACACGGAATGGGTGCGCTCATTGTAGTCATCGTCTCCGCTGGTTGGTGTATGAGCGGGCCATCCTTCTGGCACTGCATACATCTCCTGGCCATTTCTTTAGCATCCGCTTTCATTGTCGGCCAGAAGTAGCCTGCTCTAAGATTTTTGCGATCATGGCCCCGGCTTTGCTATGATCACCACAGCATCCCTCATGCACTTCTCGTAAAACGTACCAACCCTCCTCTTTGGATACACATCTTAAATGTGGACCTGCATATGATCGTTTATAGAGGACCCCACCTTGCTCGAAAAACCTCCTCACCACCTTTATGGTCCCTTCCCGCAACTCCTTCTGAATTGGGGCCCTCCAATCTTCTACCTCCTCAATCTCTGCCACCTCGCCTTCAGCCGCGCTCCTCTCCATATGAAGTAGGGTCACACTCTTACTCTTACAATCGACCAAGTTCTGCGCAATTTTAGACAGCAAATCAGCTCGACCATTCTCCCCTCGAGGTATCTGTATTAACTCGAATGTCCCAAATTCTTCCTTTAACTTCTTCATGTTGTCCACATGACGCTGCAGCCGATCCTCCTTGATCTCAAAACCTTCTTGGAATTGACCGACCACTAATTGAGAGTCGGAATGGACCTGGATTTTTCGAGCACCTCCGGCCAGAGCCAATTGTAATCCCTTTGTCACTGCTTCATACTCCGCCTCGTTGTTTGATACTCGAAATCCCATTTTGACGGCAAATTCTAAGTAATCTCCCTTGGGTGAAATTAAGACTATTCCTAAGCCAGCCCCACTCCTCGACACCGAGCCATCCGCGAACAACTGCCACATTCCTTCGTCATCTTCCTCCTCCTTCGTACCTTCCTGTATGAAATCGGCCAAAACCTGCAATTTGATCGCCCTTCTTATTCATATATTATAGAGTATTCGCTCAGCTCGACCGCCCACTTTACTAGCCGGCCAGATACTGCTGGTCGACCTAAAGTCTGCTCCAATGGCATGTTTGTGCGCACCTTGACCTTGTGGTTCAGGAAGTATGGCCTCAGCTTTCGGACTGTCACGACCACCGTCGATGCACACTTCTCAATTTCCGAGTATCTCAACTCTGCTCCTTGCATTACTCGACTAACATAGTATATTGGGAATTGCGCCACTCCCTCTTCCCGCAATAATACTGAGCTTACTGCACTCTCGCCCACCGATATGTAGAGCACAAGTTCCTCTCCGTGAATTGGCTTGGCCAGTAAGGGCAAGTTAGCCAGCGTCCCCTGCAGCTCCTCGAAGGCCTTCTGGGCTTCCTCTGTGCACTGAAACTTCGAGCTCTTCTTCAGGGTTTTGAACAGAGGGCTGCTTTTTTCAGCCACCTTGGAAATGAATCGGCTTAGCCCTGCTATTCGACCAGTTAGTATTTGGACTTCCTTCACATTGGTCGGTGGCTTCATTTCGATCACAGCTCTTACTTTCTCGGGATTCACCTCTATGCCCTGCTTTGTTACCATGTATCCCAAGAACTTCCCTGCCTTTACACCAAACAAGCACTTAGCTGGGTTGAGCTTCATGCCGAACCTCCTCAGTGTTTGGAAAGTCTCCCTCAGGTCGCCCACGTGGTCCACCTCCACCTTACTCTTTACAAGCATGTCATCGACGTACACCTCCATATTCCTCCCCAACTGGTCTTTGAAAATTTGGTCGACCAACCGCTGGTAAGTGGCCCTGGCATTTTTTAATCCAAACGGCATGACTACATAACAATATGTGCCTTTGCTTGTTATGAAGCTCACTCTCTTCCAGTCTTCTTTCGCCAAGGGGATCTGATGATACCCCTGCGAGGCGTCCATCAGGCTAAGCAACTCGCACCCCGCCGTGGAGTCTACCAGCTGGTCGATCCTTGGCAGCGGGTATAGATCTTTCGGGCAAGCCTTGTTTAGATCACGGAAATCGATGCACATCCTCCACTTTCCTCTCGGTTTGGACACCATTACCGTGTTAGATAACCACTCAGGGAACTAAATCTTCTTAATGTGCCCAGCGTTCATCAGCTTGTCGACCTCCTGCTCAATGATTTTGTCCATTTCCGCACCATGATGTCTCCTCTTTTGCTTTACCGGCCTCACACTGAGATCAATATTAAGTCTGAGCTCGATCACCCTGGCCTCGATCCCCGTTAGTTCATCCGTTGTATACGCGAAAATATCCGTAAATTCCCTTATTAAATTGATCAGCTTCGACCTGATTGGCTCTCCCAAATCTTTTCCAATCCTGAATTTTCGGTCATCGCATCCCTGCACCATTTGAATTTCCTCAATCTCTTCTCCGAGCTGTATGTCTATCTTCTCCTTTCCCTTGTCTTGTCCTCCTCTCTCCTCTTTCGCTCGTGATCCTCCTGGTCGATCAGGCCTCACTTCCTTGCCTTTCAACTGCCTTTCTGCCATCTGTCTGTTGTTACTGACTGTGGTTTGATAGCAACTCCTCGATGTGAGCTGGTCCCCCGCAATCTCGCCTACATTTTCCCCCAAAGGATATTTGATTGTCATGTGGTAGGTAGACACGACCGCTTGGAACGCATTTAAACCTGTCCGCCCTAAAATGATATTGTAAGACGATTCTGCTCCGACCACCACAAACCGGATCATTCTCACTTTCCTCGAATCGCCCGACCCCAATGCTACGGTCAGGCTCACTTCGCCCATTGGCATTACCTCTCCACCGTTAAATCCGTATAAAGCTGTAGCCACCGGTTTCAATTCCAGATTCAGGTGTTTGTTGATCTGCGCAAAACAATCGTAGAACATCACGTCGACTGAGCTCCCCGTGTCGATGAACACTCTTTTCACATCGAACCCTGCCACTTCGGCTGTGATGACCAGTGCGTCATTGTGGGGTAACAAGATTCCTTCCGCATCTTCTGCTCGAAAGCTAATCACAGGCATCCGACCAGTTATCCTGACCTCCTCTCTTTTACGCTTCACCACCCGCACATGCCCCTTTCGTGCATTATTTTAATCTCCATCCGTTGGTCCTCCTGAGATCATGTAAATCGTGCCCCTCTTCACAGGCACCTCCTCCCTCAGCTCCTCTCGACCATCGTTTTGTCGTCTCTTTCTTTTTCTCCTAGCATCGTCTTCTCCATCGTCGTCCCTATCACTCCTCGCCACAGAATCTTCCCTGCACCTTCTCCTTTCTTTACCCCGTGGTCGATCGCGAATGACAAATTCTTTTAGGTGCCCTGCCCGTATGAGACGCTCGATCTCGTCTTTCAAGTGCCTACAATCTTCTGTATTATGTCAGTAATCCCTATGAAATCTGCAGTATTTATTCGACCTAGGTTTGGTCGGTCCCTCGAACCTGGTCGCTGGCCATGTGACTTCCTTGCTTTCCAACTTCTCCTCTATGGCCGCCAAGACTTCGCCCATCTGGGCGTTGATAGGAGTAAAATGATTATATCTTTGGCCGTTTGGTAGCCGAGGTCGCCCTTGCCAGCGATCTTCTTGCCTCTCTCGGAACGAATTTCGTCCATCCCTCCTGGGCGACGGCCTCTTAAAAGATCCTCCTGTTGGGGAATTTTTCCTAGGTGATCCCCTCCTGGGCGAGCTCGTCTTTCCCTTCTTCTGCTCAGGTTTCACAACGTCCTCGAGCTTGGCAAACTCTGCTTCCGTTTCTTCCAAGTTAATGTACTTCTTGCATCTTTTGAGCACCTCATCGTAAGTTCGAGCAGGCGTCTTTGCCAGCGACGTTCGACATGGTCCTGGCCGTAGACTTCTAATCAATCCTCCTGCTTTCACCTTGTCACCCGCCGTGGGCACCTCCAGACACACCTGATTATATCGAGCAACATATTTCCGTAAGGATTCTTTCTCACCTTGTCTCATTGCCATCAGTGTAAGGTATGTCTTCTCCTGGGCGACCGCACTTGAGTATTGATTAGTAAGTTGTCCTGCGAAATCCTCAAAGTTTCTGATCGAACCTGGAGCTAATTGATGGAACCAGTCGAGCGCGCCCCCCCGTAAGGTCGACAGGAAGGCCCTGCAGCTGACCGGATCTGAGTATCCGTGTAAGACGGACATGTTTTCGAATGCTCTCACGTGCCTCGACGGGTCGCTCGATCCATCGAAAATCAGGTTTATCTCCTGGAAACTCGCAGGTAACGGCGCAGCTAAGATTTCCCTCGAGAATGGGTGTCCTCGAGCACGTCTTTCCGGCCTCCCTTCAACCTTCTCCTACAACTGCCTAAGCTGTTCGGCCATCCTCTCCATCGCTCTGTCTCTGTACTCTCCTCCTCCGCCGTAACTCGACACGTCCTCCTCTTGTGTCCCCTACACCGTTGTCGGTGCAGTAGCAGCCTGGGATGTCTGGTGAGTGGCTTGTTGCACAGCCTGTGCTGCCGCATCGGCCACCATCCTCTGCACTTCTTCTCTCGTCATGGCCACTACTTGCTGAGCAGGGGGTTGGGGTGCTCCTCCTGTTGGCGGCATCATGGCCTGCGCTGTTGGCCCTACCTGCTGCGTCACGACTGGACCCGCTTGCAACGGAGTGAGGACTGCCGCTGATACCACCTCACGAGTTTCGTGCTCTCTACTCGTGCCTGCTCCTTCACCCAAGATCGATGTACCCTGGGGCATCGGCGTCGGGGTCACCGGTGTTTGCGAAGGTCCGGAGAATCCAGGTGGAGGTCCTACTCCCATCGGTCTTGTCGTCGTCCACGCCTCATCAAATGAAGACTGCAAATTCACTCGAGGAACTCCGTCCGCCATAGCTGAGCTCAGAACACAACTTTTCGAACAAGAGTCCCACAGACGGCGCCAATAATACAAGTCTCGCACCCTGACCAGCTGGAATTCGCCTTAAGCTTGCTTTCCTCGCCGGTAGAACGTGGAACCTGCACGAAACTCCCACACCGGAGGTGTTTTCCGGTGAAGAGCCTCCAACGCTCAAGTCAGATCTTGAGAGATAATATTAGTGTATGAAAAAGTATAAGAGTGTATGAGATCGTACTGAAAATAAGGATTCTCGCCCTTATTTATAAGGGCGAGTTACCTGAGCTGCACGCGCGAGCCAGGCGAGTTCGGCCAACTGTCTTCTGCTCGTCCGTACGGCCGCGCACCTCCACTATCTTTAGTGTCAGGAGTCGCGTTCTCTTTGTCAGAGAATGTCAGAGTTCGTTGCAGCTACGTAGCCACTCACAGTGCGCCACGCGTCCTTCCTTTCACGTGCTGAAGATTCCCTCGTGCACCTCTGATATTCGACCAATCTTTTGCGACCACGCCTTATCCGACCACTCATGGTGGTCCGTATATGTCGACCACGTTTGATCTCTTCTGTCTGCTCTCTGCTCCTTTGTTGCTGGTGCTTGGTCTTTCTTGACCAGGTTACTCGATCTTTCCTAACTCAGGTAATCCAGCGGTCCGACCTATTTTCTCCGGTTGTCCTGGCGAACCGGTCTAGTATACAATATCCCATATCACTGTGATACTTAGATATGTGGGATATTTGTTTGTTACTTTGATTTACCATGGGTGAGAATCAAGTATTTGTTCAATATACTCCGTATCTTGGGTAACAACATTATCTGCATGATATCTATTTATTGGCATTAGAGAACTGTGTCCTGGACATCTAGGTTGATGATGTCCCCTTAAGGAACTCATAAGGATTATCGTATAAACCCTGCAGGTGGATTTAATCCGTACGATAATAAGGTTGAGTGGTACTACTTAAAGAATAAAAGATATTAATTAATTAAAGCAGTCAGAAGCTTTAGTAATTAATGGAAGTGCGATATCTTAAACACGGAGAATTATATCGAGTCTATTAGAAGTCCTGATTCATTTCGGGATAGGACGAGAGTGCAATATTAATTCTCTAGTGGAATGAATTAATATTTACGGGCCAAATTGTGTTCTGGGCTGAACATAAGAATTTGGGCCTGTAGGGAGCCCAAACCCTATACCTTCTAAAAGATCCCTAGGCTGGCCCAAGGACCTCTATAAAAGGAAGGATTACACGTCTTGAACCTTACGCAGCAACACAAAACGTGACACCTTCAACCACCATCGTGAGGTAAAAGTCACGCGAAGGGTTGGGAGAAGACGAAACACAATCTACTCCTTTCAACCGTTTGGTAGATCGTTGTCCATCCGACGTCCAAACGTGGTCGGGACACAAACTACAAGATCGCTCAGATCGAATCAAAGCCCAGAAGAGAAAGGTATTTCTCTGTTCATACTTTAGGAGCATGCTTAGGGTAATTCGAAATCATGTATGTATGTGTTTGGTATCCGATATCGATCCGTGGGAAGGACCGCCTCGTCGGCGTGTTCCAGCACCCGCCAGAACCAGCGACGCGACCTGACACGCCACACGACCCGATCGCGAGCCCGACCCGTTCTGCTCGTGATCCCGACTTGTTTGTGTGCTCTTCCTGGTCAATCGGAATCCGCCAGATTCACAAAATTTTGAGCAGTAAGTTTCCTACGTGAAACCATTAGATCCGCTGCGCATAGGTTTACGTTTGCTATTGGATTCGTAACTTGTACAAAACGAGATCCTAATAGATCCCAACAAGTGGTATCATACCACTTGGTTAATTCTTTTTGTACAAAGTTCAAACTTTTACGGTTTTATTTGACAAGATGTGTTCAAACACAGCCTTATATATTAGATTATATTTGCATAACTCGGTTTTACAGAAGTTAGTTTAATCCACTATTATGGTCGATTATGTGTTTGATGAATGTTGTTGAATGTGATGTATGGTTTTAAATTTGTTTTTAAAGCCTCAGACTTGTCTAGGAATTAGTGGATGAATGTTTGTAATAATTATTCGTCCGGAGGTTAACCGGATAGATTTAATTATTTGTTTAGAAAATATTTACATCCATTCGTTGGATCTAGGATCGAATTATGTAAATTTGTAAATTAAATTTTTCGTATTGTGATCGTGTGTTGATGGTCGGGAGATCACAAGAGATCAACGAGCCTAAAAAAATCAACCGGGCCCAGGGCCAAGGAACCAACGACCGCTAGATAGCAGCACGCGGCTTTCGCCCTTTCCACAATTCGCAAGGAGTAGTCTCTACAGACTTTGATGGAACCAAGTTCAGAAGATACGATGTTGTTTCCAACTCTATTCCCCAAAACGAATATGGTAATCTTGAATAACTCATCATCGACCTAACTATCTCCATAAGAGTCCTATTTATTTGCTCTGCAACCCCGTTCTGCTGGGGCGTGCCAGGTGCAGTCAGTTGAGATTCAATTCCAACTTCTGAAACATAATGGATAAAACAATATTAACTTTTAAAAATGAAAAAAATATGGAATTTGATAAATGAGAATAAATAATATCAAGTTCATACGTTAAGATTTAATTTTGAAAAGAGAAAAACCAGATAAAAATAAATTACTTAACAAGATTGTAACTAAAATATTTATATAAAACAACAAACATAAATCGAAAACAATAATGTATATATAATTATCGGCATGTTCGTTTAATAAACCGAAAATCCTAAACAAGTTGTTCATGAATAACTTAGTTCGAATAACAATTCTATTTGATTCACAATTTTTTTATGATTAATCTACAATCGGTTTAATATTATTTTAAAATAAAAATCGTGTTTGACTTTAATGATATTAATTGTTATAATATTTCATATAATAACTATAACTTTAAGTATATAAAAGTCTTAATAAGTTTCAAAAAGTCCAAAAAAGTCTCAAAATAATAATTATCTGAAAGTCTCAAAATGTCTACCAAAATCGTAAAAATTTTACAAAGTCGACCAAAGTTAATCAATTTAAAAAGTTGCAAATTTTTTTTTTTTTTTTTTTTTTTCAATTGAATACATTCACGGGGAGAGGGAATTGATCGACGAGTTAGTTCACACACACACAGTGGACTGGAATTCTGAATACAGCACAAGAAACAAAATTCGAAACTAATAAAGCTATCGATGGCACAATAATCAAATGCATTCGATCCTGAGACGAACCCACGTCTCCTCTGATCAAATCAACGCAATAATCAAATCCTTGGCTCAGCAGGCCCGCTTTCAGGAAGCCCTACATTCATACTCCATTTCCAGGTTCGCTTTCCCCTCCCTCCTCAAGTCCTGCGTGGATTCCAGCCATGGCGAGGCGCTCCACTGCGCCATCTCCAAAATGGGCCTCCACTTCGACCCCTACATCGCCACCTCACTCGTGCGCATGTACTGCAAGCGTGGGGCCCTCCCCAGCGCAGCCAAGCTGTTCGACGAAATGTCCCGGCGCCAAGATTTGGTTTATGACGTGGCGCTCTGGAACTCCATCGTCGATGGGTGCTTCAAATGCGGGGGTTTTGAGGAGGGCATGGCCCTGTTTTCCCGGATGCGAGCTTTAAATGTGAAGCCCGATGGTTACACTTTGTGTATTCTTCTTGGAAGTTGTGATTATATTTTTTATGGGAAGGAGATCCATGGTTATGTTGTGAGAAACCATTTTGGTGATGACCCGTTTGTGATTACTGCTATGATTGGTATGTACTCGAGTTTCGCTAGGCCGATGGATGCTTGGAATGTGTTTGAGAATCTCTCAGAGATTGAGCAGAGTATTGCGGCCTGGAATGCGATGATCAGCTGTTTTTCCATAAACGGACATTGTGAAATTTGCTTGGAAATGTATTATTCAGCGAAATGCAAGGGCCTTGGGATTGGTTCTTCAACGTTTACGAGCGTGTTGACTGCTTGTTCACAGGGTGAGTCTCTGGATTTTGGCCGTCAACTGCATTGTGATGTTGTGAAGACGGGTTTCGAGCGTGATTCTTTTGTTGGCACATCACTCTTGACCTTTTACGCCAAGTGTGGATGGATTGAGAGTGCAGAGAGAGTTTTCTGTTTGGCTAGAGATGGTAGAGAGGTCGGGTTATGGAATAGTATGATCTCTGCTTATGTTTGTAGTGGCCGTCCTGATGATGCTTTGGGTCTATACATTCGCAAACGACGGGAACAAATTGCACTCGATTCTTTCACTCTATCAAATGCCTTGGTAGCGTGCACTATGATTGGCTCCTACTGTTTGGCCCAGCTGATGCATGGGGAGCTTATAAAAAGGCCTATAAAAAATAATGTTGCAGTGCAAAGTGCATTGCTAACAATGTACTCGAAGCTCGGGAGTGTAAAAGATGCATGTGAAGTCTTCGGTCAAATGGAAGAAAAGGACATTGTAGCTTGGGGTTCCATGATATCTGGATTTTGTGAGAATAAAAGATTCAAGGAGGCATTGTATTTGTACAAAATCATGAAATCCGATGGTCTGGAATTAGATTTTGGCATTGTGGCTAGTGTAATTATTGCTTGTGTAGGAAATGGTGATGAACAATTAGGTTATTGCATTCACGGTCTGGCAATTAAGGAAGGTTTGGACTTGGGTGCTTTTACAGGCAGTAGCCTGATAGAGTTTTACTCAAAATTAGGACAACCCGAGATAGCTAAGAAAGTATTTTCCAATGTTTTGCGAAGGAATCTTGCCCTTTGGAATTCTTTAATCTCGTGTTATTGCGAAAATGGCCTTCCAAAAGTCTCCCTCAATCTCGTCCCTCGAATTCTCTCAGACGGCCTGTTTTTGGACTCGATAACAATGACCAGTGTACTTCCTGCAGTTTCACAAATGGCAGCTTTGCTTAAAGGAAAGGCCATACATTGCTACCACATAAAAATATCACATAACCGTGAAGTTCAAGTTCAGAATGCGTTGATTGATATGTACTTGAAGTGCGGGTG